GCTGGCTGCATGGGCGTTTTCATGGTTTTCCCCATATGTAACGTGTATGCGAGCCAGTTTTCCTTAGAAAGTCCTCCACGAAGGCATCCCTCCCCTTAGGCAGATAGCCCTAGTGTGCTTTGTCATAATTAAATAAACCAAAACCTCTTGATGAAACCAGTCTTTTCTTTCATCTCATACCTTCAAAATGTTTAGCCTCTAAAGACTGATAAAGGCTCTGACCAAATATTGATGAAATGGATTGAATTGGATTATTAAGTTACGTCAAAGCAGGATTATCTGCCTAAAAGGAAGGATGCCTTTGTGAAGAACGTTCAAAGGAAAGCCAGCTGGCATACATGGTACACATGAGAAAATCCACGAAAACACCCATGTAACCAACCCATTTACCGGAATTTGAACCCCTGGAGTGAACTACCAGTGTTCAACGATTCTCTACCGCTCGGCCGTTTGTGGGCCTTTATGAAATGGAAGGCGATAACTTTATTTAAAATGATTGTCAGAAATACCAAGATTATTTCGAAAAGTTGGATGCTTTTTAATATACTTGCAGAATGCCTAAAGAAAAAGAGCAAGAATAAAGTAGAATGCCTGAGAAAAAGAAAAGAAAAGAAAAAATAAATTTTTGTTGTGTAAAATTTAATATTTCTACTTTTTTTTAATTTAAAACTTTTCAATCTTGTGATATTTGATTCTTGCGATTTCAAAAAAAAAATATTTGACTAAAATATGAATAACATTTTAAGAAACCAAATGTAGGATAAAAAACTGTTTGTTAAAGCAATGGGCACAATGATTAAACTGTTTTTTTTAAAGCAGTGTATGCAAGTCATCCTATGTTAAAATGTTTGTTATACATCTCTCTTATTTATATATTTCTTTTCTGAACGGAACATTGAAAGGCGTGTTAACTATGCTTTACTGTATTTGCTCTTTTAATATAATGCAGTTTTCAAATGCATCGTAATCTGGGTTACAAAGTATTCCTCCGAAAGAAACGTAATTCAAATAAATAAAATCAAATTCTGGAAAATTTATTTAAAATGCTCAGTTCGAAGGAATAAATAGAAAATTTTAAAACAATTATCTGAAGAGACAATGCAACACAAACAATTAAAATAAAAGTATAAGAATTTAAAAATTACCTAAAATAATAACTATGACAAAAATATATATAAAGAAAACTATTTGAAAAATAAATAAATAAATGCTGCACCTTTATTTACGCAGTTCGAATAGGTAAATAGAAATTTTTAAAGCAGTTATTTGAAAAAAACCATGTAACTTAAACAATTAAAATAAAATTCGAAAAAGAAAAAATTAATTTAAAATAATAAGTTATAATTAAAAATACAATATAAAGAATATAATTTGAAAAAAGGAACGATGGTGACTTTTTTTCCTCTTACGGGAAGGAAACTAGGTTGCCATATATATCAAGAAGTTCGCCAAGTGAACTATTCTTGGCGCAAACTGACAAAATAGTGCCAACATAAATTTGTGAAATTTCTCCGTAAATTTTGCTCCAAATTTTACAAAATTTCATATTTAGGCGTAATTTGAGTCGTAGAATCGAAATATGTAAAAAAATTGGTATGTTATTTCAGAAAAAGTCCAATTTTGTGTCAAAATATCTATGTTAGAATAGTGCTATATATAAATCTAATATATATCCTAAGTTGCGCTTTCAAGACATGAAGAACGCAGTTTGAATTTTGTCAATCAGCCCAGTAGATCGGGAGATATAGGACTGTCCTTTTTTTTTTTTTTTTTTTTTTTTTTTTTTGAGCAGTGTACATCTATCACCCAGAGGTGTAGAATGCATTCAAAAGCTCTAAGGTTTGGAGTAAACTTACATGTGTAAAAATGCTTTTTAAGTGTATCGAATGTAACAAAATTAAGATTACAAGGTAATGTCACTGAATGAAATGAAAAGACAAAAACAATAACGTCGAATTAACTTATTTTTTTTACTAACTCTTTAAGGAAAATAACTGTTCCTTTTTAGCACTAAAAAAAAATAAAGTAAAGGTTTTTTTTTTTCTTTTTTTACTCAACATTTTTTTCCAACAATCTGCTAGCCGAATTACTCTTATGCTAGAACTTTTATGGAACAAAAGTGCTTCATCATGACGAAGATTAGGTGCGAAGTATAATCCATGTACACGTTGACCTATTTTCACTTTAAAAAGCATCCCAGAATTGCACAAAAATGGCATTGCGCACACTCTTGACTTTATCCATGTACACTGCTTAAGTCCTAGCTAGTAACTTTTATTACCTTACCAAAATGTCGCGAAACTACCTGTTATCATATTCCAAAGATTAGCCTTTTTATTTTAAAATCGGTGTGGAATAACTGACCATACAAAAGGTTAATTCCATAATTTTTAAAAAATAATTTTCAAACTTTAAAATATCATGGAATAAATATTTGCAGCATTCAAAGGTTTTTTGTTATTAGAAATGTGAATCTGTGACTAATAGTTGCAAAAATAAAGGAAACATGAGTCCCATTCACATGCAACGCTCCTTCGCACAGCTGCTGTTAGCAAAAGGAGAAAAAGGAGACATAAAAGAGTTTGTCATTACAACCCGTTCAGAAGACCACCGTCTTCCTTCCCTTTGCACCTAAGCCTCTGTAAACAATCGCATCTCCAAATTGGCCGATTTCTAATACTGTTTAAACATTTTTAACATTGTTTACTGTTGTTAATTTTGTAATCTGTACTTTCGCAACTGGTACCTGAACTTTCTAATGGGTTCTGGAAAATATATGCTTTTTAATTATTATTATTATTTTATAAACTGTTATTTAGTTCACTCTTGATGCTTGTGTAGCTATGGTTAAAAGATGGTCATTGATTTTTAAACTGCTTTCCAATAAGATATAGAACTCAAACTTTGTACATACACTACTTGTGGATGTGGTGTCATGCTTTTGATTTTTAGAGGATCAGACTTTTTCAAATTTAAAGTTGAAACGATTTTTTGCAAATGTTAAGAAATAAACTGAGAATCTCAGAATATTATAGTTTGCACCGTAACACATTGTGGAGGAAAAAAGATTAAATGAAATTTTTAGAGTAATTTTTTTTTAAAATATTTTGGGAGAATTTTTGGAAATCGTTCATATTTTTAGACTTTTTGACGCCCATTAATTTTAAAATTTCATATCTAAAAATATATCGGTTACAAACTTCCGATATTTTCACAGCTTATAAAAGAAACTTTTCACATTTAAAAAAAAAATGATAAAGAAAATTTATTGGGTGATTTTTTTTTTTTTTTTTTTTACTTTTTTTAAAAGATATGCAATGAAGCAGAATGGGAAATATTGGTTCTTCTTGGGCATCAATTCGAAACATCGGTTTCAAAGTAATAATCTCATTATACCACACTATTTTTATGACATTATTTATACTATATAAGTTGTTATTGTTGCCAGTTGTTAGTTCAGCCTGAGATTGGAGGTATTTCTGAGTTGACTTTCCCTTAAGATGCGTTTTGCATTTGTTGTGTTTAACATTCTTATTAGATTGAAGCATAACTACTGATTATACTTAGTGATATTCTAAACACTTGTACAAGTATTTCTGTGGAAAATTCCAGAACTTTGAAGTGTTTCTGTTGATAAAATAAATTTAATTAAGTTATCATTGGATTTGAGTGCAATGACAATCATTTACGAACAATCAATCTATTACGAGCAATATTATAATTAATTAATGTATTAAAATTGTTTTGAACGTGTTTTACAAAACAAAATTGGGTAAAGAAAAATTCTGCTTGCATTTTATGATTTTTTTTGCAATTTTTCTGGCCGGATAAGTTTTTAAAAAAAGGTTTTTAATTTATGTTTATATTTACCAACTAAATAAATAGCGCTAAATTTGGTGTGTATTGAAATTCAGTAATAAAATTTTAAAGAAATTTGAAATGATTTAATGCCTATTTAGACAGTTTGTATTCTTTAAACTGAAAATGCAAACTGAGAAACCTTTTGCATTTTTTTCAATAAATTCTGTTACTTAAAGTCCTAAAACATACAGGTATGGACTAAATTATTTATTATTTTAACTGCTTATTTAAATTTATATACTTTATAGAAACAAGGATGGGTTTTGCAAAATACTGAAAAGAAAAATTATTTGAAATGAAAATTGACTGATATCATATTTGTTTTAAAGATTTTAGATAAAAGTGTTTTTTTTTTTTTTCCTCAGAAACTGATTCATTAATTGCAAAATCATTCCTTGAAGTTATTAAGAATAATAAATAAAATAAAAAACTGGAAGGAGACATTGAATAGGAGAAGAAAGACATTTTAATTGTAAAATTTTTCTTCAAAAATTTAAATTTAAAAAAATTACTAGCAAAAACTTTTTTCAGCTTAAAATTATTTTGTTTCACAAAACCATTTAATAATATTCATAAAAAGTAGATGAAAATGTTTAATTTTTTTTTTTTTTAAATCATTCAAAAGGTACCGAGTTCCTTGTCACGTTGAAGTCGATATGCACTTGTATTAACTTTAGTTTTAATTTGAACGATATTCTTGGAATATCTAGCATCAGATAACCTTGTCTCTGTATTTGTCTATAATTTCCATATCGTGTACAGTTCTCCCCAGACATCTATTAGTGCGATTGTTTCGCTGACAGTCCAGCGAGCAGTAACTAAAATTAAGTGAACCACGCAATCACGCAGTATAGTACAGGAAATCCTCCCATTTGCCCTGCTCCCAAAGAGGTAAGGAACATTCGACCAAGTTCTACCTCCAATTCGGCGAGGCAGTTAATGCTTGTTCCCAAGTGAATGGGACACGTTGGAAGAACCGGTTTTAGCTACCGGTCGAATCTGCTTTTGTGAACGGGGCTATAAAGAGTTGGATCTGCACAGTATATATTACATGATGTTTGGTCTGTGATGCAAAGTTTACTTTCTATTCTCAATTATGAACATAGTAAAGTATTTTATTTAATTTATATTTGTTTTAGATATCAAGGAGCATCTTCTGTTCATAGAAAAATCTGTGAGCTCAAAAGAACCAAGGTTTATTCTTCGTGTTGTCCGAGCTCTTGTATCTGTCAGAAAGCGTCTGAATGCAAAAATATTGAGGAAAATTGTGTCTCACTTTTATATTCATGCAACTGAACAACGAGATGTTTTGTTATCTTTTATTGATGAGGTAAAGTGATAAAATTTATAAGCTTGTTTTCCATATTCCAAACAAGAATGTTTTTGTATTTTGCTGACATGAAATATATACAGATTTACATAATCTGTAAAACTTTTATAATTTTTATAACCTTTATTTTTAAATGTCTGTTTAAAACTTTAAAATTTACTGTACTTTCTCATTATTCCCACCCTTACAAAAAGCCACGCACTCATTACCAACTTGTGATTTGGCAGGAAATGTTTTGCTCTCTTAATAGCTCATGGATACTCTTCTTTTAAAAAAATAATTAAAAAAAGAAACCTTTTGTAAGAAACAAAAAATATGAGGAAAAAAACAAAAAGTCTGTATGAGCAATATTTGTATTTTTACAGCTGGTAGGTATGTTTAGTGAAATAACCGATAAATATAAAATATTTAAATCCATATGCTACCAAACATGTAAGGCAAACACATGTGCTTTTTGGTTATTGTCTGTGTACAGGTAACCCTCCTAGAAAATGCTATGTTGTGTGAAACCGTGTTGTACGAGATCTAGAGCCAGTACAAAAAGGGGGTTACGTTCCGAAAACTAATTTAAACCAAGTAACTTTTTTATTTAATTTTTATTAAAAATATAAATGTATGTATAACAAAAAACAAAAAGTATTATTTTAATTTAATTAATTTCTTTATCATTGTTGCTCAGTATAATCAACCGAGAATGGTTTTTTTTTTTTTTTTTTTTTTTTTTTTTTTTTTTTTTTTTTTTTTTTTTGTGGAGTGAGATCGCTTTCATTTTCAGAATTTTTTTCTTCATTTAAAGTTCTGGCACCTTCTTCCCTCTTTAAAAAATCTGTGATTTTACTTTACTTACTAGTTCTTACCAGATCATTGTAAATTTCTCGACGTGGAGCTAGACAGCTTTGCAACTTCCTTTTGAATTTTCGGCTTCTTTCAGCGGAAGGGTCTGCATTCAAGAAAAATGACTCAAGATTTTCAGCTAAATTTAGGCTTTCTTTCAATTTTTTTAACTGTTAAATTATTAACTTCACAATCTTCATCAGTGAACTTTTTTAAAACCTATCTTTAGGGTGTCGCCTTTCCAGATAACAGGCTTGGGCAAAGGATGAGTGGCAGGGAAGATTGTCCGGACACCCTGAAGGTACCAATTTTTCTGACCGATATTTGGGTCAAAGCTTATTTTTTTAGACCCTGCAAATCTGGCCTATATTTCAACTGCCATCTTCAAAGTGCTTTGCTCAATATGGAGAAACTTCGTGTGGAATTTGTTAAATTTTTGGAGCAATTTTCGTATTGTGTTATAGCAAAACCATGTTATAGGATGCCGTTGCTGTAGAAGGGTTCTCGCAATATATGATTCATGTTATAGTGAAACCATGTTACAGGATGCCGTGTTGTAGGAGGGCTACTTGTATATTGAAAATTATACCGAGAACTGAGCAAGTCTGCTATGTTAAAAGAGGAATGTGGATAGTCAAAGTATTAAATTTGCTAACAAATTTTTCTATTGAAATATCAAAATTTTTGTGTCTCTTTTAGTTAGCTGACCAAAACAGCGCCAGTAACTTATCAGACTTGATGTGAGCATAAAAGTATCTCTTTTGTCCATAAACATAATTATTCTTATGAAAAGCTTTTTAGCTATAATCATAGCTTTTTTATGTAGATAAAGAATTTTTGGTATTTATGTATTATTACACTGGCCATGACATAGTCTTCAAGAAGGGTAGTTTAGTGTCAGTTATAGATAAGCATGCCATGGTAACATTCTCATAACATCTACACTTTTATTTGATGCAGTTCTGATTGATTCTTGTTAGGCTACATTGTATTTTTGAATTTCTTGTTGAGCTACATTGTTTTTGAACTAGGATATAAATTAACTGTGATTGCTAATTTTTTTTTTTTTTTTATTTTATTTTGGAGGAAAAAAAAGAGGTTAAAATTTGGGGATTGCTTTTTAGAGAACAGCAAGCAATGGATGTGAAAAAAAAGTGTGTACAGTCAAAAGTCGTTAATCCGGACTCGTCCGGACTTCGGCGATTCCGGATTATAGATCATCAGTTTAAATCTGGTAAGATGGCATGCAGAAATTATAAAATTAAAAATATGAAACCGTAATTTATGAAATAAAGAACAATTATGATCTAAAGGGTATCAAAATTTACAAAAAAGAAAAAGCTTAATATTTATTTGTTTACTTTATTAAACATTTCTTTCAATGTAAGTTGTTTAAGTTGCTACATTTTATGTGATATTACTTTCTCTTTAATTCTATTAAACAGACATAATTTCTTGTTTAGTTACAAAGTTCTGCTGTTCAAGTCCTATAATTGCTGTGTCAAGAATACCAACTAATTTGTCAATCGAAATTTTTTCGTTTTCAATAACCTCTGTGTCACTTTCTTCGCTATCAGAAGCGAATTATAATGACGAGGAACTTGGATAAGTGCTGACAGATCAACTTCCAATTCATTGCGTGCCACGTCGTTCTCTCTCCCCCCCCCTCCAGCGTGAAATTGATAAACAGGTTTCGGAATGGTTAAAGAAAAAAGATATGCCTTTATCCATTTTTTGCAGCAATTCCACTTTTTGTTTAATGGACTTCGAAACATAATTCCGCTTTGTAGATCCTTTACATATTAGTAAATATATATCGGAAATTCTATTTGATATAATCGAAAGTTCAAGCTTACTTTTATAAAATTGCTCTAACAGTCTGCAAAAAATAATAAGCTGGATCCAATTCGAAGATTAAGGAACAACGCAATCTGCAACATTAACTGAATTAGATAATAAAATTATCTTAGCTTATACCGTCTGTTATACATTAAACGCGCAAGCGTAAACGTATTATGCGCATGCGCACACGCATATTTGCAGCCGTAAAGGTCTTGCACGCACGCATAAACTCCTATGCGCATGCTTCAACGCGGCGCATGCGCAGAAAGTTTGTAGCTTTGAGGTCCGAATTAACGACTTTTGACTGTATTAATGAACATGTCATGGTCAGCTGAGTATGGCCAGCAATACAGTAATAGATTGGAGGAATTGCCTGAGAGAAGTTTGTGCTTGTAGCATTCTAAATAGAATATCTGGTAAAATGGGGAAGCCTAAAAAAATAATTGAAATTGTTGAAGCCTTTTTTATAAACAAACTTTTTAAAATGAAATGGTTCAAATACTAATTGTTTATTACATAAAGAAGTATCAGTTCCTTCAGAATTTGGCACAGCTTTGGCGAGATTTCTGCCAACTTTCATTGTCAATAGGATATAATGCAAGTGAAACTAAACTCAGTGGTGTAACAGCCCTACTGGGCCAAGGCCTGCAGTGCCCATAATCTGCTTTCTTGACCGTGGGCCTTGGGGCATATGCCCTGAACAAGTGGTCAGCTTGTCGCAGGACCCCCTGTGTTTAGTCCACAAGCGAACTTGGTACTCATTTTAATGACCCAAGTGATGGAAATCAATGAATGAAAGGCTTAGTCGACCTTGCCCAGAGCGGGAATCAAACCCGGACCTGTGGTGCTGCTGCACGATGCGCTAGACACTGCGCCACCTGGCCTTAATATGCAAGTACCGAACCTTTATTTACCCAGCCTGTATTCACAAATGCAATATTGCAGATTGGAGTGGGTGGGTTTTTTTTTTTTTTTTTTTTTTTTTTTTAAATCATATCCAATCCAAATTAAAATACTCTTGCAATTGATCTTGAGAAAGCATATAATATTTAAGAATATTCCTCTTTTTTAAGGCTAAATAAGTCCTACTAAATTTTATTTTGAGGAAGGGTATATAACTATTTTGCATTTCTCAAAATTAATCTCTTTACTTCTAGACATCTTTCCTACATTGTAGTAATAGAAAACTCAAAAATGTCTCATGCTCCTACTTTTATGATCTGTTGTCTTCATTAATTAAGTGAGCACTTATCCTGAAAAATTAAACAATCAGGAAATTAACTGGAATGTTAAATCATTTAATATGCAGTTTCCTTCTTATATTAGAATATTTTAGGTGTAATTTCTGTAGATATTAAAATGACACATTTTAGGTAAGCACTTTAAAAGTTAGCTGAGAATGTATATAATTTGCAAGAAATACTTCTTGCCTATATAAATTCTGTCTGTCAAAAACAATGATACTAATTTTTAATTTATAAATACTTTTAATACTGAATTTATTTGTAGTTAAGTGAAAATGAGCTCTCAACTATGAATATGCACAAATTAATTTTAAATTTGGTTACTTTTAGCCTATGGATATGGATACAAATGGAAATAAAGCCCCTGTTAGAGTGAAGAATGCTAAATCTAGTCAGCTGCCTTTATTACCAGAACAAGATATTTATATTCACCTTCTTGTATTGTTATACCTCATTGATTGTGGTCAACATAAAATGGTAAGATGAGATAAGGTATATTTATTTATTAACTTTTTACAATATTTCAAAATTTTATAAATGTTTTATTTTCAAAGCCATGATGAAAAGTTTGTTTGATGGCTGTATGACCTGATAGTAACCCAATGTTCTGAAGAAATGCAGCTGATAAAAATGAAGTCATGCCTTTGGAAAATTGATAAAAAGACCCTTTTGTAGAAGTTTGTTGTTATTACATAAGTAACTAATGTAATAACTAAATATAATCCCCATGATTTAGTTAAGCTGGAACATTGGGGAAGCAGATGTAAAATTGCATGGTGGGAGATGTAGACTTCAAAGAGGAATAACTAAATTTTGCATTTAAGGCTCCTAACCTGTGCTTCAGAGCCTTAAGAGCACAAGAAAGCATATTTTCCTGCAGTAAGATCTTGTAAGGAGGCTACCAAGATACTCTATCTTAATTGCACATCCCAGCTTCTGAGTTACTGTGTGACAGTTCTGAGATTAATATGTTGCAATACACTTTGAGGAGAGGATAACTACAAGATAGTCATCATTAAATATGTTGGGCAGTAACAGTCTCATCAACATATGCACCATACATCTGCATGCTAGTGAGTATAAGGAATAGCTCATTAATTTATCAACTCTGATACTACACACTTGATCTTAGCCACAAAGGCATTGGTTCAATCAGAATATTATATCTGTAATGATCATAGTATTATTCAACTGTAATTTTTCTATTCATCTTATTACCAGGGGTAGCTATGGCCTAGCTCACAAGGTATGTGCGGCTCTGACAAGCACAGAAAGGTTCATAGGCCATAATATTACAACTTTAGTAAAACTCGTGTATTTGTAGTTTCATTGCAAATCTGTATATGCATTTTAGTGAAAACAGGCACTTCATTGAAAATCTGTATATGCATTTTAGTGAAAACGGGCACAGGGCTTCTTATCTTCGAGAAGCAAAAGTATTATACATAATGATTTTGCTTTATGAAATTATTCTATGAAGCTACAGTCATACTAAGGTTAAATTTTGCGTGGCATACTCGTTTTACCTAAGTCCTATCCTTTAGATTTTAATATCTTAGATATTTAAGTAACTTAAAAGTATATTAAAAAACATGTCATATGTTAGCATTAGGAACTAGTATTACATTTTTGTATAGTTAGGTGCTTGTATAGGTTTTTCCCCCTCAGTTTGTGTATAGTTAAATCATTCATTAGAAATATTTTAAATTATTAAAAAATTTTTTTGGCATACGTAAAGTATGGTGCAATTCCGCCAGAGTGGTGCCAGTTGCCTGTTGGCATGTGTAAAATTATAAAATAATAATAGGCTTCAAAAGGCGAAAAAAAATAGTTTAGTAATTTAAAATACAAATTCAAACTATTAAATGAGGATTGTGTCATACATTAAAAAAATAAACACTTTCTTCTTCGAGTCTTTCTTTTCTTTTTCGTTATTCTTCTGAAATAAGCAGTGATCTGTTTCCACTTAAAAGAACATCAGAAAATTGCGGAGATTCAGCTTCATGTAATCTTCAGCAGCAGTGGCTGTCTAGAAAATGCATTTCCTCATTGTCCCTTTAGAAAATTTTCTGCAAAATTCTGTATTTTGCCAACATTTCACTGTTGAGAAAAATTGACCATTATATCTTTTAGAACGCCACAAAAGGGAGACTTAAGAATTTTCTAATAAACTATTTTTGGTGATTTTTAATCTCACCTAGTAATACTAGTGAAAAAAATCATTCAAAGATAAAAGAATTAGCCAAACTCTGGCAACCATGCTCATATAACAATCGTTTCAGTCAAGCAATGCCACCATTTCCATATATCTTCTACTTTATTGTATTCCAAGTTCCAATGGTTTTTATACACAAATCGTGATTTTTTTTTTTTTTTTTCCTTTATACCTACCTAGTTTTAAAATAAAATCTTGTGGAATTTGTCAGCAGTGGAAAGAACTACGAGTTGTAGTTTGGCTAATCTTTGAATGATTTTTTTTCACTAGTATTAGTAGGTGAGATTAAAAATCACCAAAGATAGTTTATTAGAAAATTCTCCCTTTTGTGGCATTCTAACAGATATAATGGTCAATTTTTCTCAACAATATGTAAATGCAATTACATTGGGCTGATTTAATTTATTCCTTTTGTATTTAGACACAAATTTTTTTTAATTAAATATACACTGGTCATCAAAATTAAAGGATAATGACAGAAATACAATGTAACTCATACTTAGTGAAAAATTTTTTTAATAGAAATTTGAACAAAAGCATTAGTTAAGATAAATTATAATGTTTTGCAAAATATTGAAATTATTACGAAATTTCTGAAAATTGAAAGGTAATGGAAAAATTAAGCCACCTCTTGTGGAAAAATTTGTTCTTTAATAGGATGTATGGTCACCTTAGACACAGATGCATACCTCACATCTTGATTTCATAGACTTTACCAAAACGTTGATCAGGTATTGTGGAGTTAATGCCACTCTTCTAAAAGTGCACTTTTCAGCTCCTGAAGGGTTCGGGGAACAATTTTGCATGCTGAAATCCGCTGCCGCAAGGCATCCCATATAGCCTGAATCAGGTTCAAGCTGGGTGAGTAAAGTGGTGAATCATTTCAAGTGGTCTCTTCTGCTTACAAGTATTTTGACACCACATGTGCTCTATGAGGCTGTGCATTGTCATCCATTAGCAAAAACTGTTGGCCAACAGCACCCTTAAACAGTTGAACATGGGGTCCCAATACCTTTTCCACATATCTCTCAGTGGCTACAGAGCCTCCTTGAAAGATATGCAGCTCGGTTCAGTCATTTGTCATGATTCCTTCCCAAACCATTAAACTGCAGTCATGGAAATGGGATATTTCATGGATAAGGGAAGGCAAGTTACATGTTCCTTCCTCTCTCCATATCAAAACGTATCTAGAATCATTGTTTAAATTAGACTATATCTAGACTCATCAGTAAACAATACTAGGGCCCCGTAATTTTGGCTCCATTGAAAATGATGACCGCACTGCTTTAAGCTTTAAATGGCCTCCTCTGAAGGCTGAAGTAAGTAGGACACAAACCATTGGTTTTTCTCACATACAGTCCTACCTCGTTAACCCTTCATGCATCAGTAGAATGGCTAATTTGAGTTCCTGTGACAACCTCGAAGTCTAAAACCAAATCTTGTGTATTGTTTTTGGGCTGACAATGGTCTTCTGATGCAGTTGTTGCTCTTGGTCACCCTTCATCAGGCTGTCTATCAACTGATCCAGTACTTAAAAAGTGACTGCAAACTCTTGATATAACACTTTGAAGGATATTGATATTTTGGGGACCTCTATTTGTATTTGACTTTGATTCTGTCAATTATTCGGCTCTTGACCTTTACTTAAGTCAGGGTTTCTTAAACTTTTCTCAGTCGCGACTCCTTTTTATCACTGAGAATTTTTCGCGACCCCCAGGGCCCCAAAATATTTACAAACATTTTGTGGGACCCCATTAGCATTGCGCAAATCCGACACACATGAGTGAAACTGTCAATTTTTTCACTTGTATTGTAATATACTATTGCGGTTTTAAGTCATTAACATTATTTCTATTTTTAAGACATAGAACTATGTGAAAATTTTAAATAAGTAAGACAAAATGACATCATCACGTGCAAAGCAAGGTAAATGAACGTTTATATTATAAAAAGAATGTGTTGAAACATTTTCGTTTTTTTCTTTGTCTATATTGTCTTATCTTTATCTATTTTCAGATACATTTTTAAAAAATATTTGATAATTGTAAAATTACTAGAATAAGTTAAAAAAATATCAAAACTGCTAAAATTTTTGGTGACCCCCTGCTGCAGGTCCCGCGACCCACAGTTTAAGAAACTCTGACTTAAGTGGTGCCTTTAAGCCATAACTACTGAATACTGATAAATGATGCCTTTCAGCCATAATTATTGAATACTGATCACTCTCAGAAACTACATTCACTTTAGACAAGACTACAGACAGAATTCCAACATGTGTCTATTGTGCACCACATAGTCAACCACCGAATTCGCATATTTCCAGCTCTAATTTATTGGCAGAAGTGCAGTTTTGTTTTCAGTAGTATTTAATTAGCATAAATAATTACAGCATTGGCCATTGGTTGCAACATTGACTTAATGAGCAAAATTTTTCTCGTTATCCTTTAATTTTGATGACCAGCATAAGTTTAATAGAACAAAATCCAAAATATATTGTATCATTACACTTCTTGTAGTTGTTTATTAATTTGATGTATAATATTTCTGTAGGCAGTTTAGCCATTTTTTGAATTTTTGTACATAATATACAAATTTGTAAATATTCTTTGCGAGTAGTTAGAATTGTTTTACTTTTCTTTTTGGAGAATTGTTTTGTAGGGGATGTGTTTCTAATTTTCAGAGGTACAAATAGTTTTAAATAATTTCAGTGCCTCAGCTAATTTGAAATGGACAGAAACGTATCTAATTTTGCTAGAAAAATAATCTGTTGTTGATGGAATCTTTCTCTTTTCTTGAAAAAATTTTGAGTCTGACAAAAATTCAACTTTCTATCATACTTTGCCTGTTTTAATTTAAAATAGTAAATAATTATGCTATGTAATTTTAGCAGTGATTGTGCAGGATATTGTTTTGTAAGTCTTGTTTACATGATTTTTTTTTAATTTTCATTAAATATATGTATAGCAAAAGTGATGATTATAACTAAACAGGCAAAAGAAAATAAGCAGAAGAATATAAAAAAAATTATATAGAAATTCTAACACTTAAAATGAGGATTGTTAGTGGAAGGAGGGATGGCAAAATAAGTTTTCAATATTTATTAATCAAATTTTTTCAGCATTTTGCACAGGAAGAGTATTTAAGTTCTTTTTACATATTTTTTACAATTTAACTGTATATGTGTAATATTACCAACCATACAGATATGAAATGAGAAGTCAATAAGAATAGTTTAGGTCAAAATAACACGCCGAACAACGAATAATTTAGAAGTCAAACAACAAAAATTGGCATTATTTTTGCAAATTTTCCAGCAGATTTTTGTTGTTTGGCTTCTAAATTAATCAATAAACATAGTTTAGGAATTTGATTGATTAATCATTTAGAGTGTGGTGCCGTATTATAACCTTTGTATGAAGCTGACATGATAAATTACACCATGCTGAGAAAATGTAAAACTGATGATTCTGAAATAGTTATCTGTTGTTTTGTATGAAAATAGTTTTGCTGATAAACTGACTTAAAAAAGTAACTCATTCATTTGCTTAATACATAGCATATTTTAATTTGATAATGAACTAGGTATTTGCTAGTTAAAGTTGTATAGGAAGTGATTTCTTAGAGAATAATATTATGAGTACCATTATGAGTTTATTTTCTCAGAAATATTGGTCATTTTGAGAAGTAGTTGTTTAAGGAGGTTTCATTTTATTTGGAGGGAGGAATAAAGCTGAAGAATTTGCTAATTTAACTGTACTATAATGTGCTTTTGAAGGGTTTTACAGCAAAGTTATCAAGCCTGGTGAACAGAAAAATTTTAAACTTTATTTCCACTTGAGATTAATAGCAGTTCTTGCAGATACATAAATTGCTAAATATAACTAAAAAAGAGCTGAAATTCTCTTTAATGTGAAGGAATGTCGCAGATCACAATATCAATTCCTGGAGTTACTAATCCTCAAGCATTGTAGCTACAATAATTCTTAACTGACTTCATTGCATTCACATTTATGCCAATGAGTAGGAGTAATAAACAAGCCTTACAATAAAAAAAGTTTCTAGAACTTAAAAAAAAAAAGTGTGTTACTTGAAATTTTTCAGAATGTTGTGCAAAAAAAGAATTGTCACTAAAACCTATGAAGCAGTTTTTGGTAGTGTCACCAATTATACTTTAATTATCCTTGTAATTTCAATATCATTCAGCTCTGAATTAAGAGCATTATAAAATGTGTGAATTAACGAAAAGCATAATAAATGGCCAGAGACTCAAAGATTAAACAAAATATACAATACTACAAAAAGAGAACATAAATACTTATAAAAATTTAGAACTCTGTATTCTCATTTAGCTGTTAACAAGGAAATCAGCCAGATAAATAAACTGAGGAAAATTTCCTTATATCCACCCCACCAAAAAAAAAAAAAAAAAAAAAAAGTGTTTAATTGAAATACCAACATGAATGTGGGAAACAGTAGTTAAAAATGAGGTTTATACTCTGGTAATAAATTGTATGCCTTTCTATATTTATTAAAGAATAATTTTTATTGAAAATAATTTTCTTGGGTGATATTTTTCCCTTCTAATGATTTCTGTTGAGTTTTTTGTTTACGTGGTTTTTATTTGAATTGTGAATTTATTTTTCTAGGCAGTTGACTGTGCTGACCTTTTAATGAAAAAAGTAGTGGCTCAGCCACAACGAACTGTAGATCTAATAGCTGCTAAATGCTATTTTTACCTCTCAAGGGGTTATGAATTACTTGGAAATTTGGCCAATATCCGCAGGTAACTAACTGTATATTTCTTTCTTGTTTCTAAAACAGTAATTTTGAATTTCCATGTGGATCCATATAATTTGCTCATTAGTCAATAATAAAATTTAATGTAAAACATAGTTCATAGTGTTTTTTCACTGAGCATTTCTACTTATTTTTCTGCTTAAGACATTTTTACAGCTAAGCAAATTCAAAATTTTTATACATTAGTTAAGAAATTTCATAAAATTTATTCTAACAATGTCATCTCAGCTCAGGTGTACTGGAGAAGTTAAAAAAATTTAAACGGATACAATAGAATTGTATAAATCATAGACATATTTGAACATTCCACAGGAAAACTTGCATCTGCACTGCAGTAATGATTAATTGATGAGAGTTGAATTTAAAAACCCTTCCCATAAATGAGAATTTCATATTGCACATTTATGTATTCACTGCAGCATTTTATAGTAATTAGTGTCTGTTTGCTTTTATATAAATTTCTAAATTAAGATTGTAATTTTCTTTTTCTTATGTGTTGTCACGTAGTTTTAGTGAACACTATATATGTGCAAGGTAAAAGTATGTAAATATAAATTATAATTTAAACTATCAAGAGCCCCTTAATTCATCTTTTTAATTTCGATACCTCCCCTCTTTATTCTGAAAATAGTAACTTTTTCTAAACTGTGGCAATATCAACTGCATTGTGTGGAGTTCTTAGCCAATCACTGTTCAATATTCTAACAAATCATTCCAGATCTTTTTATATGAGTCTTGCTGAAATGTATGTTCACTTTTTTATTATTGCTTGCCTTTCTAGTACATGTCACACTGCTGCATTGTATGGTCTATTGTTTCACCATGTAATAAGTGCATATAAATTTGTGCAGTGTGTGTCATGTCCACGGTGATATGAAAAGGAGATTATGTGTCAGTAAAAATTATTAAAGAATAAAATTATGTGTCTTGTTATCTATAAAGTATTCAACATCTGTAAGTTTCTTCTTCTATTATGTATCCTAGTTCTGTTTGAGTTACATCTTGGCCATGGCTTTTAAGTATTTGGTTTCATCATCTGCTAAATTATTACATATATAGAGAGATAATAATTAAATCAAAAGGTAGTGGCTAACTACCCAACAGAAAAAACGCAAATCAAAAAAGAAACAAAAATGAAACTCACTAAAATAATATGACGTAACGAATCCTTTAAATTTTTTGGTCTGTTGCAAGGAGCAGCCAAAAAAATTTCAACGCAACTACATTTCTGAATTATATTTGGATGAATGTAAATCAAGTTCATGAAATAATTCAAAAGTAAATATAAACAGAAAAGTAAAATCATTAAAAATGTTTTTAAAACCATATTAATAAAGAATATAATAAAACAAAGTTACAATTTTTTTCATTGATTAAGATATAATCTGCTCCAAGATGACCCTAAACAAATAATTCTGTATAAAAATTAAACAGAATGAAATTAGAACATTCCATGTTAGAAATCAGAGAAACAACTGGGCATATTTATAAATAAATAAATTCGTGAAATGATTCTTAATATTCAGTTAATAAAAGTTAAACCTAAAAAATGGCAAAATTTCTAAACTGTTGCAAAACGACAGTAATTAAGGTCAAGATTTAAGAAAATGAAATTAAGTTAACCAGAAAGAGGGAAAAAAAGTAAGAAAGAAACATTTAAGATAATTTTTGCATAAATAAAAAATTTCTAAATTGAATAGGTGAGTGTGAAGTACTTTTCCTGAAATCCTTGGGACAGTATTCATGAGGATGAAATTAGCCAAAAAGTTATGGTATGAAAAGACTTGAGGGTTATTGCATCTTGTTATTCAAAATTAAATTCACTTTACTCTTTTTGTTTGAACTTATTTTTTTTAATCATTTAGATATAATTCAGAAATATTGCTGTGTTGAAATTTGTTTGCTACTCCTTGAAAAAGACCCAAAGAATTTTTAGCTATTTGCTGTCATATTATTTTATTGTTTTAGTTTTGTTTCGATTTAGATTTGTGCTCTTCCTGTTAGCTAGTTAGCCACCACCTTTTGATTTAATTATTATTTTTTGATTATTTAATTTTGCAACATATTGCATGACTTTTATAATTAATAATCTTAATTTTGATAATTTCTAAACTTATGTATCTAATTGCATCCATTAGTCCTTGGAATGACACTTTGCTTTTTGTGATATCTCAAGTATTAATTTTTACAGACTAGCTTAAAAGTAATAGATATTGTTGCGTTTTTTTCTTCTGACACCAGTTGTTACATTATTTCCTTCCTTCACGTTCATACGGGGTTCATGTGGATTTGGAGTGAATAACGATGACAGCACTTGATGCAATATCAAAACAAACTTTATTTACCAATATTAATCAGGACAGCTCCAAAATCACTTTTAGAGTCGTCGAACTGTTATAAACACGCTAACACGTTCAGCAACACAGCCTTCACACTGTCAGGCAATAACGGTGGAGACAGCTTCACTGCAAAGCACCAGAGTACAGCTCCCGACTCTGCTCAGTCGTTCTTGGAACTCCACGTACTCTCGAGACTCCACGCTACAACTTGCAATGCACTTGATGACACACAGAGCACAGCTCCTGACTCTTCAGTTCAGTTGTTTCCGGAGCTTAACACACTCTCTCGACGATGCACTAACTGCGGTACACTAATAGACTCTTCGATGCACTCGCTGCCCGGCTGTCATCTCGATCGACTCCGCACGGACTGGCTAACTTGAGACTAACTATCTCGCACTCTCTAGACGAGGACACCCCCCCCCTGGACTGACCAGCAGGGTTTCTCCGCTGGCTTGTGTCAAGAAAATCTGTGCTAAACTGGTAAGAATTCGTTCCAGAAGGTTCTCCATCTGTCCATGGCATATCGCGAATTTTGCTGCGAAATGGGTGATTTCTCACCAAATGTGGCAACCCTAAACCTGCTTTGCGGGGAAGCTATCTTGCCGCACCTGTACATTTCGTAACAATATTTTCACCGTTTTACAGAAATGAGTTTCAGTAGCATATCTAAAATGCTTATGTGATTAGAAGAAATATGTCCAAGTTTACAAGTTAAATTGTCCAAGCTTAAGTTACAAATGTTTTATGTTATATTTTTTTTGTAACATAACATGGGTCAATACAATAGTCAAGTTTTTTCAAATTATATTTTCAGTATCTCAATGTCAGCAGTTGTTATAATGCATTTTTAAATAGTCTAGATTTATAAGAAGAGAAAGAAGAAAAACTTGATGCACCTTCCCAGGAAGTAATCACGCAGTGTTAAATCTTACCAGCATGCTAGAGCCATAGTCTAGTTTTTTAAATGGCCAATCCAACGTCGAGCCATATTTTCATGTGTGCCATGTTCTAAAACAATATTTTACAACTGTAGCAAAATTTATTTTTGCACATTCAACCACATAAAAGTATTTTTTAACTGATTAGTGACTATATTACTCAAGGAATGTTACGTGCTCAAATGATGATGACATGTCTTGAAAACAAACAAAAGTAGAATTTTAAAGTTGAAGTCTTTCTCTAGGAAGTGATACTAAATGCTTCCTGATTAAAAATGAATCCTTTTTGTTTTGTAAGCTTTTAATCTGATTTTGTGATGCTTCCTGATTAAAAATGAATCCTTTTTGTTTTGTAAGCTTTTAATCTGATTTTGTGAAGTTAACCCTATATAAATTTAAATTTTGATTATTATTAAATTATATTTACATACCCTTTAAGATAAATTTTCTATTGTTATTCAAAATAAATGTAATTAAAATGTTTGAACTACTCTTATATGCGCCCTCAGGTCACCAAATTTCTCGCCAAATATTTTTGGCAAGAAACTCCATGCCACCATATTACTACCTAAATTTTTTGGCTACCTTTCAAATTTTAAGCCTAAAATGTCTCCAAAAACGCAGTTTTCATACGTGCAAAAACCACGTTTGGAAGACACAATTTAAGCTAAAAATTCGAAACGAAAACGTAAAGTTTCTAACCAAAAATATTTGACAAAAATCACACAGCGATATGTCTTAACTTCAAGAAACGTCTATGAATTGCACATTCTAGGCTGTGAAGGAATGTACGAACTATGCACACCTCGCTCCAATAAATTAACATAACAACAATAAATTTTAAAAAAAACCATGTACACAGCATTCTTTAAAAAAACTTTAAAAAAATCTACAAATTACATTAAACTTTAAAAAAATCTACAAATTCCACAATCTAGGCATTGAGCACAAATAAACTAAATTACAAAGCAGTTCAAAAAACAACAACAACAACAGAAATTCATAGTAAAAAAAAAAAAAAAAAAATGAACATACCATTCTACAAAATAAAAAGAGTAAAATAAAATGCACTTACCATAATACATTCCTCTAAAATTTGCCAGTCACAAACGTCTTGAAAACAAAAGTGCCACGATTTTGCTATATCACATGTCTTTCTGAGATTCAAAATTTCGAAAGTAACAATAAAAACTTCCTCCAAAGTTAAGTTACTATACCAAAACTACAATCCAAATCTTAAACTCCGTTGGCAGCCACGTACCTTACCAGCAACCATTTGACTGAAATTCTACTCAAAAACTATCAGAAACGCCCTTCTTCGTCCGAGTTGTCATAGCAGCTCCGCATTTCGCACTCCGTTTTAAAAGTCCCACAGAAATTCCAAAAACACACTTCAATCGTCATAAACACACCCATGAACAAAAGACTTGTTAACAACTCCAACATCATACCTTTTAATACTAAATTTATTTTCCACACAATCTGAAATACGTGACTGAAATCTTGCCACCACGCCTAGCATTGTAACATAGGCCATTTCAAAGCACGTACGACACCAACTAACGAGCAATTAAACCACTCCAGCTAAAGTTTTTTCAACGTCAACAGGGTTGCAACACACAATCACGGCAAAAAGCAGCGCAGAACACATATCGCGACACTTGGTGATATTAGGGCGCATATAAGAGTAAAGTCAAAATGTTTTCTGCAAAAGATTAAACTTTTGTTATTTTATATTCATTCATTAAGATGAAGCAGTTCTGTAAGGAAATTAGTTTGGCAGACTAAAAGGACTAGTAGACTGAAAGGATTTTAAAGAAATTAAGTACAATTTATTTTCTGTCATTTGTATGTACATAAAACATAGTTTATTATTGTTAATTATAACATCTGTAATTTGCATTGTGTTAGAAATTGAAACTTAAACTTATTTCACTTTTTTAACTTAACACTTTTATAACTTTATTTATACATTTTCCCCCCCCCCCGAAAAAAAAAGATTATTATTTTTCTTGACTTATTGAAGGAATGTAATTTTTATTTAACTGTTTGTCTCTTATCTTCCAGTTTTCTTCATACCCGCCTCCGAAGTGCAGTTCTACGAAATGATTATGAAGGCCAGGCTGTACTTCTCAATTGTCTTTTACGTAATTATCTTCATTACAGTTTGTATGAACAAGCTTCTAAATTAGCCTCTAAATCTGTGTTTCTTGAAATGGCATCAGATAATGAATGGGCCAGATTTTTATATTATTTAGGTAATTATTATGTTCTGAAATTTTTAACTGTTTTATTAAAACATTTTAAATTCGCTCTGTACATATTTATGTATAGTTTTGCTTCATAAAAATTAAATGTTAAGTGAAATAATATGTACTGGTTTTATTTAAAATTTATATTTTCTTTTTTAATTTATTGAATGAATAAGGAAGCAATTAGAAGTACAGAAGAGAGTATATCATATGAAATGTCTAAACGAGAATGTACATGTGCTTTTTCCCATTTAAAATCACCAAATCATTTATGAATACAAAAGTTTCCTTTTCACTGTGTGTAGGCAAAGTACACTGGTTATTATAAATTAAGGAAAAATCACAAACATAGCAGTAACTCCCTCACAAATAAGCCAAACCTGTAAAATTTGAATATGTTGCCAAGTAAGAGTAGCTGAGTAAAATTCCAATATGCAAATTAGTGGCGCTGCACTCTGAATACGTCATCTGCGAGGAGCATAAAAGTCTATGTTTGAGAGCAACCCCACATATTTCACTGTGATAGTGACATCAGAAATCTGAGATAGCCAATTCGTAACAGTGATCTCCAGGCATCATTTGCCTGCAGAGATACGACAGACAGCCATTGGGAGACTAGAGGCAGGACAAAGTCAAACAGAAGTGGCCAGATGGCTAAATGTGAGTCCTTCTGTGGTTCATAGACTTTGGAGGCAATTTCAAATCCCAGATTTGGCACCTAGGAGGTTCAGCCAAGAATGGCCATCTGCTACCACGAGTGTCAATGACCAATATTTGACATTATGTGCACTCAGGAATAGAACTGCTACTCCTACTCTTCTTCTTCTTAGATTCTCCCTTGCTGCAGCTACCAGAAGGTTGGTGTCGACGTCAACTGTGCGTAGAAGACTTCTCGAAGGTGGTCTGTATGCGAGGCGAACAACCATTTGCGTGCTGCTCAAGTCCCGCCATAGGAGGGACCGTTTGCAGTGGGCACGGCAACATGTCCACTGGATGCCTGAGCAATGGAAGGCTATTCTCTTTACAGAATGAAGTCCAAGGTTTAGCTTCCTAGAATGCGATAGTACAAGTACTATTGATTTGGTTATGGAGAGAACCTGGAACCTGTTATCATCCATCAGACATCCGTGAAAGAGATGCATACAGAAGAGGCAGTGTCTGTGTTTGGGGTGGCATCTCTTTGGGTGGACGCACAGATCTACATGTTTTTCCAAGGGGAAACGTGAATGCTCATGTTTATACACATAAGCATCCTTGATGCTTATGTGCGCCCATATGCCGGGGCAATAGGTGATGCTTTCCTGTTACAGGACGACAATGCTAGACCACACAGGGCTTGCATCGTATATGATTATCTTCAACATGAAACAATTATGCGCATGGAGTGGCCAGCTCGATCCCCGAACTTGAATCCTATCGAGCACGTTTGGGATGCTTTAGGAAGACGTTTAGCTGCTCTCAATCCGCCCCCTTAGACCCTTGCTGCGCTTGCAACTGCTTTGCAAGAGCAATGGCTCTCGCTTCCTATGGAACTGATAGACCGCATAATTGAAAGTGTCACACATCGCTGAATGTGCTCTATTGCTTCTAGAGGCGATTATATTCTATATTGAAGGTACTTTTACTGTAGCAAACTGACATCTTCGATTTGTTCATTTTATACATGTGCTAATTTCTATACTACCATAATTGTCTGGTAATTTCTCTTTTGTGTTATTTGATACCTTACTATGTGTTGTATATCGTGGGTAAGTTTTATAAAATTCTATATGTAACTCTTTCAGTAATCGTGATTTTTGTGATTTTTCCTTAATTTATGATAACCAGCGTATTATAATTGTAATATTTCTGTAGACATTTTTCATAAATAAAATGATTTATCAAATTATTCAGGAACAGATAGCTGTTAATATTTTTGAGATTAGCACAGTTTTTTTTGGGGGGGGGTTCTGATAAATCCTTTTATTTGAATTGGGAGCAAAGGAATAAAAGAAACTGAGTACTTCAATCAAATTATGTTAGTTCATCCATTGTAATTAGCGTATTTTTGTCTTCCGTGCATTATTATCTTGTTTTCCTTTGTGTCTTTCTCATTTTTGGGTAAAGAGAAATGTCAAAGGAGGGTAATGGTGCCTTGCACCCACTAAAAAATGACAGAAAAGCCCATGAAAGCATTCATTGGTTTTCCACTTCAGGTGTACAGGCCTTCAAGAAAAATTCATTAATGGGTAGTGTCCATTAATGCAGGTTCAGGTGTATATTGAATTAAATATTAATTTGTAAGTTATAAAGCACCTATGGGCTGCAGTTTTGACATTTGCCTCAGGTTTTAAATCTATCTGCACATCATTGGTGGCAAATGAACTGAATATTCTCTTGTGTAAATTTATTTAATCCTCCTTTAAAATAAGGGACAATTTTTCTCCACAATTTTATGTATTTCCATTTATTTTCTTTAATTTTTAGTTTCATTTTCTGAAAAATATTGGAACAGTTTTTCATAATTTAATGTGCCATTCTTGTTCCTGTGCATGAATTTTTGAGACTTGTTGACTCAAAGTGATATTTTATTACTCGCTTGTAGGCAAATACTCAGTAATTGTTAAAGGGAAATGCTTTAATCTGAAATATAATTAGAATTTTTTCTCATTTCAGGACGTATCAAAGCTATTCAATTAGAATATTCTGAAGCCCACAAAAATTTATTGCAGGCAATAAGAAAAGCTCCCGAATTATCAGCCATTGGATTCAGGCAAACAGTAAATTGTTTTCCAAAATTTTATTCTGATAATTATATGGATCATTTAATTAGTGTTTAAATTGCTTAATTTTGTACGTGAATTTGATTTTTTTTTAAAGAACAAATTTAGTGTTTTTATAACAAAATCTTTTACCTCCTGCTAACTTATTATGGGATGGTTATAATTAAAGTTACCGTATATATACCTTACATAGAGCCTGTTCTGGTAGACCTATTTCATTGAAACTTGGTAGATGCATTATATGGAACATAAGTGAAAGAAAGCTGCAATAAAAAAAATATAGTTCAGATTTTGATCACCAGGTGAGGTGCATGAAGAATAAGAGCTTGAGTTAAAAATACTATATTTAATCCGTGCATTTGTTCAGTTTGCATTTCATTTATGTCATCTTGTATGAAGACAGTAATCTCTAAACAGTCTTGTTCTTGTAAGGCAGGAATGTCTTGCTGCTGAAGAAATTTGCAGTAATGATCTCTCATGATAGAATACTTTTGAGGGAACTGAGGAGTGTTCTTCTCAAAGAAAGAAAAGGCCCAAGGATGAAATCAGCCGTAAAACCCATGGAGGTAAGAATAAAAGGAGGAGCCAACCTCGCACTACGACTGAAGCAGTGCTCCCTGGCTTTGGTCTCCAGATGGGATGTTTTTTGTTTACATTCAGAGCTTTCTTGACAGTGCTTTGATAGTATTTCCACATACAACAGTACCACTCAAATTGAAAAGCGGGACACTTTTGCATAAAAGAAACCTTCATTATTGGATGGATAATAGCAGTTTGTATAGTTTAGTGATATTTACCCAACAATCACATCTTGGTTATTTTTTGATAAATTGCAACAGCGATTTTGATTATGAATTTGTCTTATAAAATTCTAAGCTGTTGGACTACAAAAATATAGATTTTAGCAAAAACGTTATGTGTAAAGAATGAAAAATGCTGTATAGTACCTTTAAAATTGTATATGTCTTTCGATGTCCTTGATAGAGTATTTGCTACTTTTATTTCATGTTCCAAACACCAAAATGTTTTAAATAAAATACTTTTTTTGTAAACTAGACACTACATGGCCAGCCTTCGTCTGACTTTTAAGTGTACCAGAAAAATGCATAAATGGAACACCAAACATTAAATTTAAAAACTGCACATAATTTTACTCTGCAGAACAACCTTATCACACACACATACAAAAAAAAAAAAAAAAAAAAAAAAAAAAAAAAAAAAAAAAAAAGTAAAAATGTATTATATATAAAAAAAATTCACAATGAGATAAGCAATATCCCTTAATACAAATATTGATTATCCTAGTAAATAAATTAACCAATTTTCCATTGCAAAATCTTAAGAATTGAAATGGTGTAAAGGAAGTCTGTTTTTTCTGTCACTACTACAGCTATTGTCACAAAACTATCTGCAGTTCTTTCCTGGGTCCTAGGTAAAGTTGACGTCCACTTAAAAAAAAAAAAAAAAAAAAAAAAAAAGGCCCTTGTTTTACCGACTGGAATTTTGAAAAATCATTTCGAAGTGCCTAGATGCACCTTTGTACCAAATTTCATAGTCATGGGTCTATTAGCTTACGCGCAGCGTGAATGAAAGACACACACAGGTGGGCAGGTTCTTCATTTTATTTTATGTAGAGATTACTTTATTCGAAAAATATAGTGAATGCCCAGAAATTAAAGATTTGCACATGGCAAAAATGAAAAATATGGAATATATATATGAGTATTTATGCATATGCTTGTAAAAAGCATGTATCTGCCTTTAACAAAATACGTAAATATTTATTAAATTATTTATAAATGTAATTGGAAATGAAGGGTTTATTCATTTATAAGCTCCTGTGAAAGTTATTGTTAAGAAATCTAGTTATAAGCACATTGAGGGCTGCGCAGATTTTCCTATATCCCGCCACCAGACGGCAGTAAAAATCGTACTGTTTTACCTGGCATCGCCTTGCTCACAATGTTGTGTAGTAAAACTTCAGATGGAAAAGCGTACTTTCTTTTTACTCTACATTTAGTATATGCAGTGCTCTTTACAAGAGTAGTTTCTTTTTCCTGTTATTGTGTGTTTGGCAAGCACTTGCACTCAGTTGGTTCTGTAAATATAGAGTGTTAAGAAATAATTCTCTATTCTTTAGGGATTACTAATACGTGGTGAAATGCTGTTGGTATGTAACTTTGTATTTCATTTTGTGTGCAAGAATTTGAAATTTAAAAAAATTAAAAGTTGATTTCTTCTGGTAAGCAGAATTATAAGACATAGCCGATAAAATTTGTAATATGTTGGAAGGAAATGAATTTTACAATTGCAGTTGACTCATCAGATGAGTCTACAATTGTGTTCCACAGACAAAGATCAAGGCAGATGATACTTTCAGCTTCTTCAGAGAAGAGTAACAATGACACAATTTGGAGGAAAGTGACTCCTTTAGGACATCTTATAAATATACTACAGTCAAAAGTCGTTAATTCGGACACCCATAATCCGGAATGATCTATAATCCAGGCCTCAAAGCTACAAACTTTCTGCGCATGCAATCGCATAGGCGTTACGCATGCGCTTAAGACCTTTACGGCTGCGAATATGCGTGTGCACATGCGCATAGTACGTTTAAGCATGCACGTTTAATGTATAACAGACGGTATAAGCTAAGCTAAAATTATCTAATTCAGTTAATGTTGCAGATTGCGTTGTTCCTTAATCTTCGAATTGGATCCGGCTTATTATTTTTTGCAGACTGTTAGAGCAATTTTATAAAAGTAAGCTTGAACTTTCGATTATGTCAAATAGAATTTCCGATATATATTTACTAATATGTAAAGGATCTACAAAGTATGTTTCGAAGTCCATTAAACAAAAAGTGGAATTGCTGCAAAAAAATAGATAAAGGCATATCCTTTGTTTCTCTAACCATTCCGAAATCTGTTTATCAATTTCACGCTGCTCTGGGGGGGGGGGGAACGTCGCGGCACGCAATGAACTGGAAGTTGATCTGTCAGCACTATTCTTATCTTCAGGGCAGATGTTTTTATTTTATTTGGCTTATAATTCCTTACTAAATTCCTTAAAATCCAGTATTTCATCACGATGTACTCCGTCTTTGGTATGATTTAAATCAAATTCCTCATAATTATAATTTGCTTCCGATAGTGAAGAAAGTGACACAGAGGTTATTGAAAACGAAAAAATTTCGATTGACAAGTTAGTCGGTATTCTCGACGCAGCAATTACGGGACTTGAACAGCGGAACTTTGTAACTGAACAAGAAATTATATCTGTTTACAGAATTAAGTATTATCCCATAAAACGAAGCAGCTTAAACAACTTACATTGAAAGAAACGTTTAATAAAGTAAACAAATAAATATTAAGCTTTTTTTGTGTGTGTAAATTTTGATACCCTTTAGATCATAATTGTTCTTTATTTCATAAATTATGGTTTCATATTTTTAATTTTATAATTTCTGCGTGCCATCTTACCAGTTTTAAACTGATGATCTATTATCCGGAATCGCCGAAGTCCCGACGAGTTCCGGATTAACGACTTTTGACTGTATAATGCCAGAGTTTTTAGAAGCTGATTCAGAAGAAAGTGATGAGGAGATAGAATGGCAGCAGCTCACACAGGAAGAAGCTGTGTGATATGTCAGTATATGGAAAACGGGGAATTTTCGTATGGAAATGTTAATTATGATGATCCTTTTTCTTTGTATTAATTGTTTTTGTCAGACCATGTTTTATAATTAATAGTGAATGAAACAAAGGTATGCTGAACAATCCAACGTTGGTGTTGAAAATAGTTCTTTATCCACCACCAGAAAACACCAACAATCCTGGTGCCTTTACAATAGGAGAAATAAGTTCAGAATAAGTTCATTACAATAAGTTCATTGGCATACTCATTATGGGTTTAGCAAAGTAGTGTAATATGATGTAGTAGTTAAATATATTAATACATGAATTTTTTTACATCTAACAAAATTGTATTATAAAACTATAGCTGATGTGAGCCACCGGTGGTACATGCCACCAGATGAACCATTCGCATGCGAGCCACCGGTAGTGCATGCCAACAGATAAACCATTTGTGTGTGAGCAACCAGTGGTGCACAAGGTCCTCAAAGTGTTAAATATATCTAAATTTATAATGATTATAATTATAAATTTAGATATATTTATAATAACTAAATTTCCTAACAGCAACTTTCACATTATTATTATATATACATTTATATGTATATTTACAATGTAATTAAAATACAAGTATTAGCTATATATATAATAAACTTTACATTTAATTGTAAACATAAACTGAAATTCTGATGAAAAATACATTTATAAAACTGTTTCAGCAAGAATTATATGTACTGGAAAGCAATCTATTAAAAGGTACTGCAAAACAAATTCTATGAGATGCATACTTAATAAGTAATAAAGAAGAGTTTTTAGAATATGTATTGTTGAAATTAAGGGTTAAAAAAATCTGATTAGTATTAAAAGAATTATTTCCTTACATTTTACAATAATTTGGTTACAAGTTTTAATAATATTAAAAAAAAAACTTTATTTATTCCTTTTCAGAAATATTCATAGAAAATTAAGTACATGGAAATCAGCACCAATATTTAACATATTTGACTAGTAAAATAAAAGGTGCTCTAATTAGAAATTAACTGAATAGAGCATAATTATAAATTGACTCAGATTTTCAATTTGAAAGATGCCTCAGAAGCTAAAAAATCATCTCATGTTTGAGAAATTATTTCAGGAAGAAGCTCTGTATATAGAAATGAAATAATGCATAATTTTAATATTAATAATAAACTTTGATCCTAATTTTTGTAATTCTTAACCGAATAACATCGAATTACGTTAAAAAACTTTTTAATGTAAGTAATGAAAACTTGTGAAACTTCTTTTATATGCGCCCTCAAATCACCAAATTTCTCACCAAACATCTTTATATATATGGCATTTCTTGTTTCTAATGTAAAT